TTTATTTTTTTTGATTGATAAACAAATTTGTATTGATAAAAAATGAGTACAACTACTTCGGGCATCCCAAGCATATACAAAAGATTTAAAGATCCAAAGCAAATGACTAAAAATGAATCCAAACATGAAGTTTCAAAAATTATTGCAACTTCATCTAAGCAAATACTAGAACTTGAAGTTGTGAACCTTTATGCTAGTGTAGGATGTTTCCTTTCTTGCAAAATCATTTCGATATCAAGAGAGGGGTTATCCTCTCCTTATCTTTTTTGATTGTTACAGTATGTAGATCATCCATCTTTCCTGTGAGTTTGTCATTGGAAGCTGCCTTCATATGTCGTTCATCCTGATCATTGCCATTAGAGTTGTTCATTCCCTTCTTTTTGCTAGCCACTTCAAAAGGAATTATCCAGCTCATCCGTATTTTCCTGTGCAGAGTTATCTCCAGCATTCTAGCCATTTTGGCCAATAGCATTCTGGTCATTTCACCCAGTAGCTTGCTGGCCATTCTTTCCATAGCGGATCTGGCCACTTTGGCCAGTAGCATTCTGGTCCTTGCGCCGGGTAACATGCTGGGAATTCTGTTCATTCTGGCCATTTTTGCAAGGTGTGTTCTGTCCATTTCCGTTTGTTACAGCACCAAGCTGTTTTGTATGCACATTCTGATGTTCTCCCCGTAGATTTTAATGTTTTTACTACTTCAAATATTATATCCACATTTCGACGCTTAGATGAGGCTTTACCTCTAGAAATAGGAATGGAAGTTACACACAATCTTGCTTCTTTTGCTAACGTTCCCAGCAACGCTTGTTGGGTCAACTATGTCCTTATTTTTATTGCATATGATGTACATGAGGATCTCAATCAATGATACATCTCGCTTTTACTTTACTTTTGTTTATCCAAAAAAGCCACTTTCTTGTGTTTGATTTTGAATAAATAGAAAATGAAAAGTAATCCTATTTTTCCTTTTTGATTTTCCATATTGGTTCGAATCTTGGTCGAGTAAATTCCCTTTTATTTTTTTATGTTCCTAGCCCATTTTAAATTATTTTGTTTTTCTATTGCCAGAAAATTTGGATCGAGTAAGACGTGTTTGAAATTCTTCATCGAAAAACTTTTCCTTACTCTAGATCATTTTGAGTAGGAAATTGAACTTTTTAGGTTGAAATTATTGGATGAATGACTGTATTTCTTACTCTTTACATTATTTTGAATAGGGAATTGAACATTTTAGGTTGAATTTAGTTTGTTGGATATAAACTGAGCCAAACTGTTGACGTAAAATCTGATTGAACTAAGTTGCCAATGTTGTTGCCTCTCCATCCATGTATGAATTATTTCCTAATTTGATAGGTCTAGCATTGAAAGACTAATGTTCTGAAAGGAATCTAGTTGCCACCTGTATTTCGATAATCAAGTCAACTGAAGACAAAATATAAATACAGATGTGATGAAAATAAATGGATAGAGTTTTTTTCCGGCTCGGGTTTGATTTCATACCTTTTCCTTGGTAATGCATGCAGTGTTCATAGGAAAAATATGTCAAGTTATTTGGGACCTTTTTGACACTGTCGTATGATTATTGGTTTGATCGTTGTCACAACTGATTTTGTTTGATAATGTTTCCTTTATGTAAAATTAAAAAGTCACACAATGTCACTTTTTATAAACATTGTGTCACTTTTTTTCAAAAAAAGTGACACAATGTCACTTTTAAAAGTTTAATATTACTTTTTTATTAAAAAATACATACAATGTCACTTTTATTAACAAGTTATGTTTGTCACTAAAAAAAATTATAGAAATTTAAAAAATGACAATTGAAAAAGTGACAAACCTAAAAAAAGTTATAAAAATTCAAAACAGTGACAGTTACTGAAAAAGCGACAAAAATTAAAAAAAGTGACGAAAATTCAAAAAAGTGACACAAATTCAAAAAAATTACATAGATTCAAAATGTAACATTATTCCAACATCTTAATACGAATCTTATAGGCGTCCTCCAACCTCTTCAGTCTTTCCTTTACACCTTTTTCAGTCTTTCCTTTACCAAATTCATAAATCAAAACCCCATAACTAAATGCGTTTGGAATGACCCCATTACTTTGCATTTTCTTAAGAATTCTCACTGCATCTACAAACTTCTTTGCCTTGAAAAAACCTTCCACTACAGTAGTAGTGCATACAACCACTTTCAGAATATTACTCTTCTCACTCATTAACTTAAAAAGCTTCATTTCCTCTTGCATCAACCCATCTTTACATAAATCATCAAGCATCGCCACGAAATTGGGGATCAACCCAGTCAAACCCAAGCTTGAATATTGCCATAAAATCATCCACTTCACTCCTCACCGAGCTCGATTTTCCATTTTCACAAACACGATTGAAATTTGGGAATCTGGCATTTTGGGAAAGGTAAGATTGCCTTTTTCTAGACTCAACCCTCGAGGGCAGATTTGTTTTTCAAATTCTGAGGTTTCAAGGTATCATAATAATCCAACACTACATGGTTGCTTAGACCACCCTTATGGACCTCTTCGACTTCCCCATAAGACCTCCAAGTGCGTCATCAGACACTGCCAGATGGTGATAGGTTTTTCGTTTGTTGCTATTAATGGAGAGAGCATTTTTGGTCAGAAGATTGTTAAAGTTGCTGAATTTCGAGTGTCTTCCGAGGAGCCTGATGATGTTGAAGGTTGTAGCAGCCGAGATAAAGATGAAGCAATAGAGAAAGATTAGATTGATAGAGAGCCAGGAAGAAATAATCTTTTATGACGTATTAATTACGTTCTTAAATGATTTAACTAATTGAAAGAGTATAAATCAAATTGGTTAATTTTTTAGGGTACTGGCCCTAATTTGCTCAATATTATATGGGAGAAGCTATGGATCCTAGCGAGGTAACAACAATTAGTGCGAAGCGTTCGTGGGCTTTGATGTGGCTAGCCTATTCTGACAAAGCACTTATTATTGGGGCGAGATTCTCACTTAGGTCTCTATGACATGGCATACAATTCTTTCATAAAATTCTAATCATACGGGTTTGCATGTGGAGGCCACGTGTGATAAAGAAATAACGCAAACTGTTTATAATTTTTTTTATTTTTTTTAATTTGGTTTAAGAATAATGCAATTTACACCATTACTAACAGATATTGAAAGCCAATCAATCCAAATAATAATAATAAAATCTAATATCAGAAGGTGATGCTTCGATGAAAAAATATAAAAATGTAACAAATAAACTTCCAAAGAGAAGCTCATCAATTTCAAAATCACATGTACATTTTGGTTTTAATGCTATTGTATCATCTATAATCTAATCACATCAATTGAGATTTTTTTGGAACGATTATAACCCTACCATAATTCAATTATTTTAATAGTATTTTGCCTTCCGTTTTCAATATGTATTTAATTTATAAATTTTGTAATAAATATTACAAAATTCTTGTCCATACACGTATTTTCTGTTATTAATTTTTCAGTTAATTAACATTCACATTCATTTAATTAATAAATTAAAATTTCACATTCACATCCATGTTATTAATCCTCAATTAATTAACATTCACATTTATTTAATTAATATTAATTAAAATTTCGCATTTAATAATGTTCATGGTTCACGTACATGTTCATGTATGCTATTTAGCATCCAGTTTCACTTAATTAAAAATTAAATTATATTTATTTAGTATAAATGATTTAACATTCATTGTCATGTATATTCCTTGATATTTAATTAATATTCATGTATTATATTTGTCATTCATCTTCATTTATACATTCAATTGTAATTCTAATACTCACATTTATTTACGTGCATGTATAATAATTAACTTATTTTCAAGCATTTACATTTCTCTCATTTTTAAATTAAAAAAGTAAATGGAGGGTCAAATATTAGTTTTACGACACTTTTATAAAGCATTTTGAAATGACATGCAATACACATTCAACTTTAACTAGTAGTTAAAAATATGTATTGCATGTAGTTTCAATTTTATTTAAAAATGTATTCATAATCGTATAGTCTATTACTCATCTCGTCCCATTTATATAGACTAGTTTTGTTTTTTCACAAGGATTAAGAAATATTATTTAATGTCATTGAAAAATCAATTTTTGCCAATTTTTTCTTCTAATTTACCTTTATTTATATTTGTACAATTTCAAGATTAAGTGGAAAAAAATGGTTATAATTAAACAAATTACATAAGAGTATATTAGTAAATGAACAAAATAAAATTTCTACCAAAAAAACAAGACTATATAACTAAGACAAGAAAACAAGGAAAGTAAGTCCAAATAAATGATATGGAAGAAGTATTTTTTTGATAAAATAAAAAAATATAGAAAATACTAATTGCATAAAAAACACAAAAATGTGGGGCCCGTTTGGTAGAGATTTTAAGAATTGATTTTTTGACCGTTAGAAGAAAAGTGGAGTCAACATGTGAGAGAAGAAGTCAAAAATTACGGTTTGAATAGTAAATAACGGTCAAAAAATCAATTTTTTGGGACAAAAAATCCCTACCAAACAGGGCCGTGGCGTGGTTGTTAACCTCTTGATTATAGGGTCTTCATCCCTCACTAACGACCTCGACATGATAAACAAACATGATCAATATGTGTATTTCAAGTACGTATATTTAAAAATTTATGCGCTACACAAAGTAATAATGCGATGGAAAAGGGCTTTTTGGTTCATTGAATGTAGCTTTAAAGTTGACTAAGTAATGAATGTAAATCATGTTATGGTGATATGACCACGACGATAGAAAAATTGATGTGAAAATTATTATATCAATATGCACAGTATTGGTGGTGAGACGGGTAGAGCAATGGCGATCCAAACACACCCTCCTAGATAGAATCTCATGCACTGATTGAAATTTTGAGGACTCATGTATCAGAAAACATTAAAGGTGGATCTAAATACAGTAGTTTGCAAAGTTCGGGACTCATCTGTGATTTTTCATTTGCTGGATCCAGACGAAATTCACTTTATCTAACGGGTCGGATCACCCTGCAATCCACATTATAAAGTTACTATTAGCAATAGTTCGATTTTCAGGCGAATCAACGTCGATTGAGTACTTATTTTCAGTTGATAATCCGCCGTCAGGTAGTTCATTTCTTTCTTTTATTTCATTGATAATTTTCTGCAATTCGTCATTCGAGTATTTTCTTGAATATTTATTTAGGTATCTTTGGAAGAAATGTGTAATTCTTATTTGTAGGTTCTTAGACTTCAGCTAAGAATTTTTTGTGTTTTAATTAATTGAAATTCTTTGGTAAATTGCACGTTATACGCAAATGAGGAGAGGTTTCCCCTTTTCGTTTGGAATTGATTACTATACAATACAAAAATAGGAAACAACAGTGCTTTGTTGGAGAAAACTTTAGTGAGATTAGACATTCATATGCTTACATCGGTATCTACTGGCGCTTACGTTATTAGTCTTTGGATAGATTAAATTAGTAGGATATTCACTTTTTATTGGAATAAAAATGCGGAAATTTACCATCAAATAGAGGTCTGCTATGTACTTTCATGGGTTTTCATGGTGATCTGATGACGTGTGAGTGAAGTCTAAACTTGGAGAAGAATTTCTGGAAGAGAAATCGATTGTTTCAAGTTGGTTGAGACTGGCTTGCCTAAAGATAGTTTGAGGTTGGAAATGAGTTGCAAGTACTTATTTTTCAATGCAGTTTGTTAAGCCAACAATTAAATCAGTCAAGCCACTTGAGCCAATAATTATTCAGGCTGCTAAGGTGCTCAAGCTCAGATCAAAGAGCAATATGCCAAGTTTGGGCAATTTTCTAGGCTCATTTATGATTCCAATCTAAGCTTGGATAGCCTTAAAGTTAATTAGAACAGCTCATTTACACACTGCAAATTCTGCAACCTGTTGCAAGCAATGTTGCACGTCTATGTTAAATTTATAAGATAATGCCCCTGTTTCGGCTCCATTTTAATGTAATTTTGGGAGAAAATGTATTTTGGAATAGTGATTTTTGGGATAATGTGTGGTCAAAGGATAAGGAAAAATTTTGGATTTATGTGTAATATTATTTTATGGAAGAATGTGTGGTTGAAATTAAGTTTTGAAAAAAAATGTGTTTTGGAAATAATGGAGCCCAAACAAGGGCAATGTGAAATATCTTGTAAATAAGTTTTTCTTCTGTTGATTCCTGTAAAGTGCTTAGGGAAGGCCTGTAGCACGACAAGGAGTAATAACTTTACTCCATATTGAAAACTCTGTTGCCCCTTTTTTGTCTGTGTGAAATGTGAATTTCTTTAATGTTAGTTATTCCTTGATAAATATTAGCAAACCTTAAAACTTTTACTTGGGTTGGGGGGCGGACGACAAGAAATTTGAACTTATATAAATAGCCATGAATATTTTTGTTCAGGAGAGGCTTCTGTATTGATTTCAGCCCTGAATATTGAACAATAACCATGTTACATTACATGGAATTGGATTAGACATAATCAGTTCCATGATGTTAGATGTTTGACAATATGTAGTTCCTACTTTGTGGATTTAGGGGTTGTTTGACAAAGTGTTTAATAAATTTTTTAGCAGATTTCATAGAAATTAATGAATTGTGTGCTTAAGAAGTTGATAAAAATTGTGGGCTCATGAAATGTGTAGTTAAAATTGATTGTTGGGTTTGACCTCTAAATTTTTAGCAAATTTTTAGCTATCCCAGACCAGGACTTAATATGTATAGTTTGGAGATTCTTGCTTCTTGTTCATTTTTTTCTTGACACGTCTGTTTTGTAAAACAAAATCAAGTGCAGGTAAACCAACACAATCTACTGCTATCTTTTCTACACTGTTTTCAGTTTTGAATTCTATGAGTGGTTTTTAATCCCTCTGTCATGTATTGTTAGTGTTCTTTTTCTTTCTAGCATGTTACTTGGAGGAGCACATAGGATATGATTTTCCCACTTGTAAATATGTTCTATTTCTTTGTCTAGAAGACTGAAATCTTCTTAATAAAATTTCTGATCATTGGCATCTCATTTCTATTTCTGTTTAGAACTTAAATCAATGTTGATGCTCTTTGAATAATTTTTGACTTTTTAAACTCTTTGCCCCTGGGTTCATAGGCATTTAGGTGGTTGGACTTCATTAAAAATGTAAAAGTTATATCTGAATCAAAGTTGTATCATTAGTAGATCTATTTTATGCTTTATAACATAGAGTTTTCATAATTCTGAAACTTTATGTCAGTCAAAAGAATTGTAAATTGTTAACTATATGAACTTATTTTCTATGAATAAGACTAGCTAGTTGAGTTAACATTTTGTCTTCTTAAGGGAGAACCATAGCTTCCGTGCCTTAGGTTCAGGTACTTTGGTTTTACCCTTGGGCAAGGTTCTTTTACATGTGTATTCTGGTGTTCTCTTTTACCTTCCATGTGGTATTTTTCTGAAGTAAGGTTCTGCGAAGTAATAAAAGCTGTGAGATTAACATGTAAATTCGCTGAAGTCATCTTCTTTTTCTGTCAAACGGATTTTAATTAGTGCTTCGAAAACTCTCCCCAAATACATAGGCTAGGAACCAAGTTGAGGTTGATATTATTTGTAACATGCTTAGAGTATGAGGCCTTGGACCCTTCAGCTATTGCAGATGTCAACTGGATTAGAATCCGATCTTGAGTATTGTTTATCCTGAGATTCCATCAATTTAGCACAATCACGGGGATGGCCACATTTTGGATTGAGCTCTTTATCTCATCATATTTAGCTTTATTTTTGTCATCAGCATGTTTGAATGGCAGCTGGAACATTTTGATTAGAGATGATGTCTTGTAGTGCCAAAATCTGGCCAACAAGGATTCGAGGACCAAAATGTCATCGATTGTTGAACCGTATGTCTCCATAAGCAGCATAGGAGTATCTGCAGGCTGCAAATGGAGAGAGCTGATCTCCATCCTGTGACAACTATCTGATGATTATGTCAATAAGGATACTAATAGTAATGGATTATAGTAAGATTGAACAAGTGGTCACATGTCTTACCTCAAATGGCTTGATGGTGGTGGTATTTACAGCCAATGGCCAGTCTGTAAGTGAATCCTACACAGACTACTGAAGTTTGAGCCATATATAGGTTGATTGCTATCCTGTTGTCAGTTTTAACTGGTTGGAGTTGTATTCAAATCGCTATGGCAGAGTATCATTATTGATGTGTGAGATGGACTCCATTTGCAGTACGGTTCTTGCAGTTGTGCCTTTGGCAGGCCATTGCATCTGGATCGGAGGTTCACTTCGCGGTCGGTCTAGCCTTACAGTTTTGTCGTCTATCAACTTTATTCTTTCCCTCGGGTTTGGCTGGTCACACAAAATCTGTTGTCTGACCACTGTACTAGCCCACGATAGTTTGTGCTGCTTTGCTGGTTTAAATGGAAATCTCCACATCAGCTGGTCAATCGAGGTGGCATGCAAGTCAGGTGTAGTTGCTATGCAGACTTGTAGTAAACCTCTTCTTTTTCTTTTCTTCATTTTATTATACCGTGTATCTCATAATATAACTGTGAGATAGAAGTCAGTAGGAGGTACTTGTTGCTTTAAACATCAACTCTCTCATCTTTCCTTTGAGGCCTTGGACTCTTGGGCAAATACTTTCAACAGCAGGTTGTGTAGTGGCATTGTTTGCCCTGCTTCTCTGAATAGAACATAACCTATTTTCCTTCTGTCTGGTTAGAAGGAAGCGCCCAATGAAAGCTGAATGTAAAAGTAGTCATGATACAAAATAACATTGATTATTTAATTTTTTTAAACACATAGGGAATTGTGCATTTTGAATATCCCTATTCGTTCTGGTCCTTGTTCCTGATCCCTGTGAAAGGTCCAGTCGATGGGGAAAAAATCCATGTTCAAGTCTTATTACCGAGTGTAAGCTGCCTTCTGTAGAAGGTTCTATTATGGTAGTGAAGTACTTGATTTACCTCTGTGCATTGTGATGATCTGAGCAGGACATATTGTGCTACATTCCACAGTGGTGTGAGGTGTTAACTGAAAGAACATCTTTGTCCATTTTTTTCATCAACGGCTAATCTGACTCGTCATTTTCAGCACTTCACATCTGTATAGAGACTTACAGTGCTTGATACTGCTTCACAATGCATATTATTTTGAAGGCTGTGGTTATAAAAATTATGATGCCTTCTCTTGTAACAGTTCGTTTATTTTTTGTTTTCAGATTATTTGTTGGTCTATCATAGGAATCTTGATGTCCCGAAAGCGTAATGCTATTGTTGCCACTGGCTTATTGGCTTTTGCATCTGCAGGCTTGGCGTTTCCCTTCTACATGGCGTAATTGATTTTTTTCACTGATTTTGTGCTTTAGTATACTGTTTGCTGTGCATGGTTGTTTTTCTAATTTCATACAATGGTCTATTATATCCAGATCGAGGTCATCAAGAACACCTGTGATAGATTCATCAAAGCCACTGCCACCTCAAGCAACTTTCCGAGGACCTTACATTAATACCGGTTCACGTGATGTTGGGCCTGACCATCAAACTTATACAAAAAAGTAAAAATTTTCATTTCAATGCAGAATATTTGTATTTTGCAATTAATATGCTGACTTTCTAAGTGCAATTTGTGTGACCTTTGAAGTAAAGAAATGTTGCGGGATTCCCTTCACAGTGGATGTCTTTAGAGAATGTACAGGGTCAATCTGGTCCTTAATTCTTGCCTTGGTAACGTTTGGTTTATCATTCATTTTTCATATGGAAGGATTGGCATACAGAATTTTGGTGATTGAGGAAAGAATAATGCTATTCATAGTCTACAATAGTTATCATATGTAACATCTCGTTATTTGATGCATTAATTTTTTGTAATTCTGTTGCTTCAAATAACAAGATGTCACATAAGATGACTACTGCAGTCATTGACTATGAATGTCTCCAATAACAAGATGTTACATAGAATGATTATTGCAATCCCTGATTATGAAATTGAGTTAAAAAATAATTTCACTAAAAATCATTCAGTGTTACGTTATTGTGACTACGATTAGAAGTTTGTAATGTATTTATCAAACTTAATGTGAATTGACTATAACCTATTCAATGGTAGGATGGAGAGGTTACTAATGATATTATTGAGTGGA